TTAAACTTAAATGGTCCTTAGATTGAAGTATTAAACTAAAACATGATAACTTATGCTAGCTTTAGCTTGCGGTATTAAACATAAATGGTACTTAGATTGAAGTATTAAACTAAAATGTGATCACTTATGTCATGCTTCCGTATACTATATTTACCTGGACTGGAGTTGTGTATGAGCGAGTCATGTTTTCATTAATCGTAGCAGTGTGGGTGGTTGCTTAAATGTTGGCTGAGCAGTAGTGTACCCCTACGTACTGTAACATGTCTTGTGCACGTGTTACATGGATTAGTCAGTGGAGCTAGACTGGTAGTTCTTTTAGCCATAGTCTAGCTAGACAGAGCGTCGCTCAATGTAACATGTCTTTTGCACGTGTTACATGGATTAGTCAGTAGAGCTAGACTGGTAGTTGTTTTAGCCATAGTCTAGCTAGACAGAGCGTCGCTCAACAAGATGCGCGGCTACATTGATGTATTAGGGAGAATGGTAGACGTGGTTAGGTTAGACAGATTAGAGGGTCATTGTGAAATGGGGGGTAGGACGCGGTCTGTGAGAACGGTTACATGTGCGGGCAGTATGTTTAGAGGAGTCTTGGGAGGTAATAGGGAGGACAGAGATGTAGGGAGGATTCTGGTTCTGGGCGCGGAGGTGAGCACACGCGCGTATGCGCGTGTGCGCGTGCCTTTGTCTCTTTGTGCGATTGTCGAGATGTGTCTACACTGTATGAGATATTAAACACAACGGTTACTACTTAAAGTTTGGCTTTCTATCATCATTCTTGTTTATAGTACAACCCGGGACATTTGTGGCAACTACCGTGCACTGTTACAAATGTATTTTAGCTGTGTATTATTGTACACTGTATGCGTGGGTGTTCATGTTTCCATTAATCGTAGCAGTGTGTGTGGTTGCTTAAATGTTGGCTGGGCAGTAGTGTACCCCTACAAGCCGGGACATCTGTGGCAACTACCGTGCACTGTTACAAATTTATTTCAGGTCTCTTTTACTTTAGTATTGTATGAATGAGTATGCGTGTCCTTATGTTTACTTAGATTATCGGAATGACCGTAGTTAAGACGTATAGTACTAGGACATGTTTTGCATACATTGACATATAAATGCTGATGTGTGAGCTTATATGACAGCATTACTGCTTGATAGCTTACGATTGCACATCTATATTTATATGTACTTGCATGCTTGACTGAATTTATAAAGAAAAAAAGAAGAAAAAAATTTAAAAATATGTAATATGTAATTTTTTTACTTGATGTCAGTTTTGCCATTGCAAAAATTTCAGTAAATTAAGAGGTTAAAATATGTTGCTGACTTTGACCTTGAAAATTTTTAATATAATTCGAACGTATAGATTAAAGGATGTGACGCGTTAGACTGGTACTCGCTCCCACCTCGATTACTCGATGGGTGGGATCGATGGGTCCCACCCTAAGCCGAGAGATAGGACCGGGTACCAGTCTAGTGACGCGTCATCGGCCGACCAATCGGAGGGACTGCAGCTCGTGCACTAAAGCTGACGCGACGTTTTGTGGTTGCATTATTTAGGCTGGCTATCGTGTGTGGCAATGACATGCAAATTGAGATGGGTGGATCGTTACTGGTAATTTAAAACGAATTCTTTCAATGTATGGCCCCCATTTGACTGCGCGACTGTTTTTCAGGCACAAATGTGGTGTGGGTTAGTTAATTCGCGATATTTTTTTAAAACGCTGGACAACATATGTCATAACTCTCATGGTTCACAGCTGAAGTACATGGCTACCTAGCTTTAATATTGCCACTCGGCCGAAAACGGTCGAAATACTATTTTTCAGCTCCTGAAATTCAATTCTTAAGTATAGGATCCTATGGAGAATTTAATAGTGGTCTGTTCTCATATATTGTCCACACTGGGAACAAACTGCATGCAGCGCCCCCTTCCCATACTCAGGAGCCAGAGCGAGAGCGCCATCTGTCGTGGAGTTTGCACTGGGAATGGCCTACTAGTGACGCCTATCAGTGATATTAGTAAAAAAACTCTACATATTACTAAGAGAGGGCAGCACATTCCAGTAAATATTTTGTCGGCTCTCGAACAGTAGACGATCACACTGTCTCTTTGCTGAGAGCTTTTGTGACGCGGTGGGAACTTGGTCCTATCTAAGCGAACAGCGTTGGCGAAGTGACAACACCAACACTGTCAACGTCAAACCTAGTCATTCAGGTGCTTCCACTGCAATACTCAAACTGTGTTTGTTAAATTATAAATACAGTGACGGCGCGTATATTGCGTGTAATACACACAATACAAGCACAGCAAAAGATACTAAACACATTTTACGATGCCATAGAACCGGTGAGTCGTACGTACGTGATCGTACTTATTTATTTGTCATAATAATATTTATCATATATGTTACTCTAACTTGAAATAGGTGGAACTGAGAGGTGTCGATTATGTAAGATATGTTGAAGTTGCATTAATTACCATTTCTACACATACTAATTACTTACGGTTTTGAGTTCGAGTGCAGAACTTTTTAATGTCATAATGTCATTTAATGATGCTGTTGTACTGCTTTATCTTCTTTTGCTTATAAATCCTTCCTCTCTCGTTCTTTCTATGCGTGACTCTGTCTCACTCCAGCTGTGTGTTTACCCATTCTATTTGTCCCTCTGACCGTCTCTCTGTCTGTTTGCCCTCCTCCCCGTTTGTGTGTGTAATTTGTGTGTGTGTGTGTGTGTGTGTGTGTGTGTGTGT